AAAAGTGATGAAAGCTGGAAAAATGTAAAATAGAATTCTTATCTGTAGGTTTGCTATAATTTTTAACTAATAGTTTCTGGCCATTTTTGAAAACCATGATGTCCAAAAAGTTAATATTAGTAGGGCTACAGTGATGTGTAAATTTCATGTGTTTATGTAGTGTATTGATCCAGCTGCAAAATAGGTCCGCTACTGGCTGTGATCTCACTACTATAAAAATATCATCTAGATATCTTCCAAAATAAAGGATATCTGAAGAAAATGGATTCTTAGTAGTATTGAAAATGAATTTACTTTCTAAGTCTGCGACAAATAAGTCTCATTTACAAGAAATTGATAAGAGATGTAAAGACCTGTACTCACAAATTAAGGAATTTAAAATTAAAAAGTTTAATAGAGACAGAGCTGATTATGACAATAATAAGGTCTACAATTGGAAAACCCGTTCTACATCCTCTGGCACAGTGAAAAGGAGGGTTCGCTTTGAAACTGATTCCCTTGACCCTTATTCCACCACTGAAGAAGACCCAGGGAAATCTACTGATAGTTCTACTACGTCCACTAGTCCAATACTACCACGTCGGTCATATAGAATCAAATCAAAAACTCACCATTTTCAGAGGGGTCCATACAGAAAAGCTCCTCCCTAGTGGTAAATCTGTCTAATTACCCTCTCTCACCACAAGAGGAAGATCTTATTAATAAGGGACTAAGTTTTGTTCCCTCTCCCAGATATAATCCTTTCCACACCGGGGTTGAATTATTTAAGTTGTTCAGAACTATCAGATTAAAAAACTTTTTTGGCAATAAGATAGATTCTAAGCCTGAAACCTTGTTCAAACCCAGAAACAAATTCTACCCTAACACGGATAATATGATGATAAAATCATTTGAAAAAGTTGTGGAACGAGACATTAGCAGACTTACTAAATCTAGGTCCAAAATCTTCCCAAACATGTCTATGACTGAACTGAATACCATTAAAAGACTAGCTAACATGCCACAATATATTTGGAAACCAGCTGATAAGGGAGGGGCGGTGGTACTATTAAATAGAATTGACTATGTGAAAGAAGTAGAAAGACATCTTTCTAATAATATGTTCTACAGATGTATTCCTAAAGATCCCATAAATAAAATTAGATCCCTTATACGCACAGTATGTGCTGAAGGTCTTTCATTGGGATATATTTCATTACAGACATATGAGTTCCTTCAGAATCCATACCCTAGAACACCAGTGTTTTATGTTCTTCCTAAGATTCACAAAAATACTTTCCCTCCACCAGGTAGACCTATCGTCTCAGGTACAGCATCTATTTTGGAACCTTTAGCTCAGTTCATTGACCATTTCTTACAACCCTTTGTACCATTGAACACATCATTTATCAAAGACACCAAACATTTTATCAATATAATAGAAGCTCTCACTATACCTGAGCAAGCCATACTCATGACCTTAGACATTGAAGCCCTATATACAAACATACCTCTAGATGAGGCCAGAACAGTGGTTAAAGATATACTAGACACACGCAAATCTCCAGTTCCCCCCACTCACTTCCTCATGGATCTATTAGATATTGTGCTAGAATACAACTATTTTAGTTTTGATAAACAGTTTTATTTACAGACATTCGGAATCGCTATGGGCAGCCCACTCGCACCCGCTATAGCCAACTTATTCGTCGCAGACTTAGAAAGTAAATTCATTTTCAATACTACTAAGAATCCATTTTCTTCAGATATCCTTTATTTTGGAAGATATCTAGATGATATTTTTATAGTAGTGAGATCACAGCCAGTAGCGGACCTATTTTGCAGCTGGATCAATACACTACATAAACACATGAAATTTACACATCACTGTAGCCCTACTAATATTAACTTTTTGGACATCATGGTTTTCAAAAATGGCCAGAAACTATTAGTTAAAAATTATAGCAAACCTACAGATAAGAATTCTATTTTACATTTTTCCAGCTTTCATCACTTTTCTCTTAAATCTAATTTACCATTTTCTCAGTTTTTAAGACTGAAACGTAATTCTAGCACACAAAAGGATTTTGAATCTACAGCAGGTATCCTGAAGAAACAACTCAGAAAGAGAGGATATCCTAATAAGATACTCAACACAGCCATGAGTAAGGCTAACTCCATCAACAGAGGGGAGTTACTACGGGAACGCCCTAGAAAACATAATAACCGCATAATATGGCCTTTGACACTCACACAATATTAATCTAAAATCACTAAAATTATTTCAAAACATTGGCATTTACTACAAGACATTCCTGGATGCAAAGACAAACCTATAATTGCACACAAAAGATCCAGAAATTTAAGGGACCTTTTGATCCATTCTGAATATAACTCTCCTACTACATCCCACAATCTTACCACTAGGGGTCACACTAGCTGTGGACACTGTAACTGTTGTCAACAATCACTCAAGATTAAAATATACTCTCATCCAACACTTAACATCAAGATTACCTTGCAACATTTAACAACATGTTCCACTGATAATGTAATTTACCTATTAGAATGCTCCTGCAAGCTATTATATGTTGGAATGACTACTAGACCCCTTAAAACCAGGATAAATGAACATCGTTCACGCATAAGGAATGGGTCCACTGACTCTTCACTATATGTACATTTCAATGAAAAAGCTCATACACACCATAGCTTTAAATTTTGCGCTTTAGAAAAAATATTACCCAGACCTAATGCAGATGTAAAAAAACTCCTTCTACAAAGAGAATCTTTTTGGATCTTTAAACTACAAACACTGGTTCCACAAGGACTAAATGATAAAATTGAATACACTTGTTTCTTGTGAAATGTAGTTCTACTTAAGAGGTAGCCTAGGTATGACTCATTGCTCGTTATAGAACTCCTCCAGAACAGAGCCTGTACTACTGAAGAGAGTGTAAAGAGAGTGTAAGTAGAGTAGCGTGTTTCTTTACTGTTATTATAGAATGTTTCACTAGAAATGTGAATTGGGGAGTTTCATGTATCTATTGTGTATGTTATTTTTACTCCTTTATTTAGTGCATTAAGTATAATGTGATAACAGACTACATCCTGAAGAAGATAATTTTTCGAAACAAGGAGAACATACCGGGAGACCTTGTAGAAATTTTGTTACCTAAGGAAGACTCTGCTGCCTAAGAAGTACTCCTTAAGACTGTGTTGCTAAAAGAAGAATTCTTTTGAGGATAAAGACAGAGACTGTTGAATTCCTGCACTGAAATCTGACTCCAGGAAAGGATGGACTTTATTATCTCTAGTCTACTATTCATTGCTCTATGTTGATAAGATAACCTACATTTACTTATAATGTGCTGATAACATTACTGTTAAATGCTATAAATGCTATAAAGTCTAGACAATTTACTCCATTAGAGAACATATTATCCTGATTTATATTATTTTCTTGAGAGTCTTATAAAATACACATACATACATTCTTGTTTCAATGTTACTATAGATATTTGTGCATTGTTTGCTCCATCATTGATTGAGTCCACAATGCTCTCTGGATGTAGGTGAACTACAACTCCAAAATTCAAGGTCAATGCCCACCAAAACCTTCCAGTATTTTATGTTGGTCATGGAAACTCTGTGTGGAGAGTTTGGCCCAATTCTATTGTTGGTGGGGTTCAGAATGCTCTTTGATTGCAGGGAAACTATAAATCCCAGCAACTACAACACCCAAATGACAAAATCAATTCCCCTTCAACACCACCAATATTCATATTTGGACATATCCACTATCTGTGCCAAATTTGGTCCAGTGAACGAAAATATATCCTGCATATCAGATATTTATATTGACAGTTATGAAGTAGCTACAAAAATAATGTTATGGTTGGGGTCACCATAACATGAGGAACTGTATTAAGGGGTCGCAGAATGAGGAATGTTGAGAGCCACTACTCTACAGCTTTGTAGGTTAAAAAAACAACAACCTAGTGTTTTAAATTGAGTTCAGAAGCAAATTGGAAGTTGGCACTGGAAAATTATATAAGAAGCACATATAAGATGACAACCTTGTTAAGACATTTTGCACTTAGCTTCTGAATAAATTTGGAAGGCCATAAAAATGTATCAATCTTCTCCAACTAAGAGGAAATTCAAGTGTGAACCACTATAGACAAATTGTCCTTCCTTGGGAAGGAATACACATGCAAAAGGTATGCGAAGATACTCTGGTCCATGGCAGCAACATGTTGATGTTGGACTCAAGAGGATTCCTGAGAGATAAGCCCCCCCCCCCATTCAGAACAGGTTGAAACCACAATCCCAAAATATCTTTCCTGCTGACCAATATTTATATCTTGTCTGAATTCACCCTCAAATAACTGACCCATATCTCATCTTTACTGCACCTCCATATCCTTCTTTGCATAAGTTGCAAAGAGAAAAAAGATCCAAATGACATCAGCACACTGGTTGTGAGATCTAGCTCTCAAATGCCAAATGGTCTTTTCAGTAACTTATAGTTGAAAGAAAGGCTAAAAATACCTTAAATATGACACATTTAACTAAAATATTATTCTCCTTGAGCCTGGCAGAACTTCATGGACTAACGGCCATGAGGCTCAAAAATCCTTCTTTTCCAGCACCGCCTTCTGGGAACATTCAGTCAATTTGACCAAAGGTGCCACAAAACAGAGATGTATTCCTATATATGCCTAATCATCCAAAGGGATAACATTGTTGATGGCACTGAGCAGCTCTAAGAAGTCTAGATTAAGAAACATGACCATGCTTCTCCCATCCCGCTTCCAGGAAAGGCATGAACCAAAGCCTTGTAGCTGAAAAAAGAACTAGGAACATGTACCTTAACAAAAAATAATTAACTAAATTATTATTATACTCATATCATTTTAGAAAAAAAAAGCTGGTAACCAGAAATGGCATATTTATTTTAATGTGTTTTGGATAAAAATTCTATAAGAGTTTTAGATGGTGCATATGGACATTCTTACCTGCAAAACCACATGTATGTGAACATTCTGACCAAGCTGACCACTCCGAAAGTTGGCAGTTTACTATACACTCCACGTGGCAGTCAATAATTACTTTTGTAGGTTTTTCCAAATTTAGCTACAAAGAAAAACAGAATAAGTCATTTGTCACTGATGGTCAGATACAGTAAAAGTGAAATAAAAGGATCTTGAAATATAACAGTTACCACTTAGAATTTTAACTTTAACCCAGGTTCACCCAACTCCAGTTTGGAATATATCTTATATTTCAGTAGGGCAACACTCTGTTCTTTTTTTTTTTTAAAGGGTGACAAGCTAAAGTATATTTTATTTATATAATCCTGTCTGTGTGTATTTGGCTTCATTTCATTTCACATTGTAGAAACACTATAAAACTTTCCTACCTAGAAAACTTCTTCAGTTCAGTAAAACTGCAACAGAACAATTACTGACAGCGGGGGGGGGGGGGGATAAATTAATGGAATATAGGTGAGTGAAAATAAATAAATTATGATTGATAAATGTGTATATTTCTCTGGAGATTCTAGGATAGCCTGTGTTACTCCATGTTTGCTTTAATGACACAACCAGTATGTAACAGGAGGGCTCCACCACTTTCCAAGATTTGTAAATGTCTTCCATGTAAAGAAGTTGAGGGATGAATTCAGTGATTTGGCGACTTCTTTAGGGTCCTTCTATACATGCATTAAAAACCAAAAGTAATCGGGATAAAAAGGGGGTGGGGTTGCTAAATGGCGTTTGGGAAAGGTATAGGTGGAATTGGGTTAATAGCTGAAAAGCATGTGACTGCTCCAGCACACATGTTTTAGAAGCCTGAAACAACTGGGTCGCCTGAGGGCTGAGAAGGGTGGAAATACAGTAAGTAAATAATAAATAAATAAATAAACTGATTGGGCTGTCAAAAAATGGAGCCACAGGCACACAGGTGGCTAAAGAAAAGCACAATTGGAAAGCAGTTAGAACTCTCTGCAACCATTCCTGTATTTTTTATAATATTAAACAGAACTTGAATTTACAGTTGGGTGAAGAGCAAGGCAAGAAATCTGCTTGTGTGTACATTAGGATCTCCACAGGTGCGCATATGAGGTCCAGTGCATCTCAGAGAGATTTTTTTTAAAAAAACTCCTGCTGGATGTACCTCATCTACCCTCCATCTTGATCTGCTTCAAAGGGAGATGTGAGGTCAGCTGGGGACCATTTCCCAGGACCGACAAGTTTGTGTGTTGACTTGCTGTCAGGTCCTGGAATTTTTTGCCCCACTTTCAAAACCCACATTTTGATGCTGTCTGGAAGCTTCCTTAGTGGCTTCCATGAAGCATAACCTTGTACGGCAGAACTGGGGAAAAGTAGATTTAGATTATCCTAGTTTGAAATATACTGCTGAAATGAAGACAGCTTGGGATAACAAGAAGTGGATTTTTGATGCAGTAGGATTGTAAAAAGTGTTCAGTTTGGATGTTGTTCAAAAACCCTTCTGCTCAGGATCGTTTCAGTCTAAAAGTATTATTTTTGCATGAGTCTCAGATTGACAGGAAAAAATAAACAGAAAGCCATATTGTGATGCAAGTTACTCAAAGACATATTGACAACAATACACACTCACAAAGGGCCCACATGAAACCTTACCTGCTCACAGTAGTTCTTATTTACTGCTTTCCCATCACTACGTACACAGCTCAGAAGACGATTCCTAATCCCTTGTCCACATGTTGCATTTTCATTTAATTGGCACGTGCTCCAGTCTAAAAACACACCACAACTGCATTTAGTTTTGACAGTCACTGCTGCAAAAATGTCTTTTAAAAAAACAGTTAAACTATCTTTGTTTGATATGAATGTATGAAAGCCAGTAAGAGATTTTTTTTAAAAAAGCAAGCAAACAAACATACATTGTCTTAGATGGTGAAGTCTTTGTTTCAGTAGTTCTTAAATGCTACAGTCCCTTTGAGCATGCTGAAAACTGTCCAGCATTGATAAAATGTATTATTTAAAAACAGCTCATGCTTTTTCAAATGCTGTGCTTCTTTTCCTGAATAACAAAGTTTTCTGAAGTTCCGCTTCTTCAAATCGCATGTTGTCACATTCTTCAGCTGAGTGTTGTTTGACAAAGTGAATCATGTTTCATATATATATATATATATATATATATATATATATATATATATATATTTTAAAACAGTAATGTCTTCCTTAACCCCATATAAGGTGGATAATTTTATTGTATCATTCTGCTAAAGTTGTGTTAAATATTACCATCAAGCGTAAGTACTGTCATTGGAAGTCTTTTCAGCCTTCAAGATGTAAGGAGAATCATAAACTATCTAGAAGTCCACCTCAATGAGCTTTAGAATGTTTAATTTGTATAGATGTGTGTGCTTCCTAATTGGTTACCAGAAACATGAATGTCAAAAAGAAAGTCTAGATCACAACCAAAAAAAAAAAAAAGACTACAGTCATAGCTTTAATACAGTTTCATGCTTTGATTAAATAGAAACTTTTAGGAAAGGAAGAAAGCACATTTTGATAGGAATGTAGTATGGGTTAAAGAAGGTCACGTTCTCTCTTTCTCTGTGCTACAGATTGAGGTTTACAAAGGCACACACATAAATGTGAATACAGATTAAATGTATGTTAGGCACATTTAATTAGCAGTAAGCACTATGGAGAGCAAAGGGATTTACTTCTAAATAAACATGCAGTGGCCTATGAGGAGATATTAAATGAAAATACAACCCATGCCTCTGAGTAAATAGAACGTAATTTAAAATAGGTAAGCACTTTTGAATGCAAGCCAGCTTGTAAAATTTTTGCTTATTAAATCTTTACGTAGTTGTTATTTCTTCTACAGCTCTTTTCATTATTCAGAATTCTTGGTTTTCTCAGCCTCCAAATGACTAACATGAGAAATTGAAAAATATTAGGGAGGTAATTTATCTACATGATTCAGAGGTGAGGACTTGGACAAAAGTACCTAGCAATCTTTGAAACTATCTGAGGATTTAGATCATTTTCCTAGTGTCATTGCCTCCATCATTTCTAATATTGTACCTATCCACTTCTCCAGATATACAGACATGGTGGAGAGTGCTTACCTGTTAAATTGTAGTGATATTGAAAACAATTATGGTTCAGAACACAAGGTCGCATTTGTGAGCTTTCAGGACAAGTCTTGGGTTTTAACGGAGATCGCAACACATGCCGTGTTCGTGTTTGCATGATGTTGGGGTTGCATGGCTAAGACAATAAGAGACAAAGATGTGTATACATATTAACAAGTATTTGTTAGGCAGGGGCTAAGACTTATGGGCTAATTGGGTTATTAAACAGCATTTCAGGCAAATTCTTACTCCTTGAAATATGTTGCATAATCATGCCAAGTTGTGTGATGTCCTTCACATCAACCTGAGAGCAATTTAAAAGGAATTTGTATGTATAAAGGAAAGAAAGCACACATGTGATGAAGGGTTTCTTTATGATAGCTACCACAGCAACCACTAATGAGTCAAAACATTGTTTTCTTTAAAAAAAAACCCAGCCAACTCATTAGTTTTAGAGCTGCAGAAGGTAGAACCAAAAAGAAAGCTATGATCATGGCTCACAATTTCTACTCATGTTCCTCTCTAACTCCATTCTGGCAAGTTTCTGGCTGATTTGGTTCAGGTTCCACTGCCCATCAATCCTGTTAAAACAGAATCTATTTTTTCACCTAGGTTTTCTTCATACGGTAGTTAGGAAATATAGTTGAGAGTCTGGCAGAACCCAAAACTTTTAGCACAGCCACTACCATGAACAGAAGATATATTTTCTACTGTATAAATGACACCTTATGAAACAACAAATGCACAAGCTTTCCAAATAATGATTTTTCTTCAAGAGATGAATAAAGGGAAAGAAACTGTGACTTGTAAATACCATATGTCAAAGGCAGGAAGGCTGGCACACTGAAAATGTCAGACTGTTGATGGTCCTGTGTCTATGAAAATTAACAATGGATTTCCTAAACTGATATGAAGAAGTGCCCTGTAAGTAGGGCAGTTATGCCCAAGCTTAGCCAGACTATCAGGTCAAGTCAACTTTATTTGTATCCCGTCCCAAACTCTCCTTGGGGACTCGGGGTGGCTAACAACATGGATGGCAGCCATCTGATGTCATGCAAATGCACAAAAATACAAATACATAATAAATTCAAGACAAATAATGAGTACAATAATTTATCATAACTAAAACATTATAGCAATAAATGAAACACAATTTGCAACAACTGAGGATTCCGACAGAGGAGATGTGGAAGATAACTTGGACTCACTGACAAATTCCATTCGGAAATGCAGCAGGAATAAAAACTAAGTAACCTGTTCTGATCTGTTTTGAACCTACCGCCAGGTGGAAGTCAGACCTGAGAAAAGCTGACTTGAAGTGGCGGCAAGGCTAGTGCTCTGCACAGGGCAATGTATTTTCTTATAACTCATATGTTAGCAGTCAGCACTATAGTTAACTATCCTTGAGGAAGAAGACAAACACTGTCCCAACACTAGCATGAAAGGAAACTGTCTGAAGTTTATCATTTGAGATTGGGTATGAAGACCAAACAATAAAGATGAGTTTTACTAGTAGTATTTGATACAATCATTATTTCTTCCCTGGGTTTGGAGCTCCAGGATATCTTTTTTTTTTTTTACATCTAAGTGAAGTTATTTAAGGTACAGGATAACAGGGTGTGGACTCAATTTGCGAAGGACTAGAGGGAATACCAGTCTCTTGTTTGAGCTCTAAATGGCCCCAGAAACAAGGGAGAACACAGTGCTTTTCTTTACCTTCATCTAAAGTTCAATCATTCATATGGGAAAGGTATAGATATAAGAAATGTATCTCATCTTAACTAGAGGAAGATACATCAGATTTATATGATTTAGTCTAATTTCTTTCCACATTCTATACTATATTAATAAAATTATGATGTAGGTTAAACCTCACTGTGAATTCCCATAAAATAATGAACTAACTTAGGCCATCATATACTGTAGCATTGTCCCCTACTCAGCATCAGATCAGTCTATTGAGTTAAACCTCACTGAATACAATAAATATGTGAAACGTTGAACTGAAAATCTACTTGCACTCCTATGTTTGCTAAAATGAACACTCCAAGAGATAGTAACGAATCCATTCAACAAGGTTGTTGTCATATAAGCAATTAAAATGTTTCTCCTTGCTGGGTGATGTATTTTCCAGGCACTGTAAAACATCTTGAATGACCAAGAAAGACTCAGCTCATTGTTGGAGTAAAAAAGATGAGAACTTCAGCATGTCCCTGTCCCACTTCAGGGCACAATTCTGATCAGCAGCCAAGTCAATAAGCTGCAACTTCAGTTATTTAATAGTTTCACAAGCTCATAAAGGGCAATTATGTCAGGATATACTTGTATGTGTCTTAACCTGCAATACTTCATTTTGATGCTAGTGACACTGGGGCTAATGGGGTTACCTGAGTGATTAAGAGCTGCAGAATTATGCCTTACAGACTAGCAAATTCTAGACCATTTGATGTCGATAGCAGCACCATTATTGATTCCAAATGAAGTGAAATGAGACAAGTAATAAAACAGAATTGGGAAAAAAAACTGCTCTATGCTTCTAAATATTGAAATAAGTGCATTAAAAGTTCAGTCTGATGTTCTTGATTGTATCTAATTGATGTGAACAAGTTTATAGTAGCTCACTAGTGGAAAGGCAAAGGGAACATGGAATTTTAAAAAAGCAGTAAGAGCTAGATCAAGAAATGTGTCACATCTCCCTCTTTTTATAAATATTGAGGGGTGTTTTTTGCAGTAACATCCTCCCATAAATCACACAAAGGGCTCTATTTTCCCATTTAAACGCTCATTAAACTACAGATACAGAGTTTCAAAAATGAAGGCCTTTATTGCTTTGCAGCTGTTATTGAAGGCAGAACTTGAATGAGAGAGAGAAGGAAAGAAGGGAACTGGGGAGAAAACTCTCTTTTATTAGAGGAAACCTTGAATCATTCCCTCTCAAAAACTCAAATTCTGTAGTTCAGTGGTTCTCAACCTGTGGGTCCCCAGGTGTTTTGGCCTACAACTCCCAGAAATTCCAGCCAGTTTACCAGCCTTTAAGATTTTTGGGAGTTGAAGGCCAAAACATCTGGGGACCCACAGGTTGAGAACCACTGCTATAGTGGCTTCACCTGATACCAGTCTGGCAACGGGCCAATGGACTGCAGAGCAACTGTGTATGAACCCAATTACAATGTAAGACAGAAAAGTGAGACCAAGCTCCAAATGGTTTCATTTTTCAATATCTGCCAGGGGACACACCTCTCCCCAGCTTTGGTGTCCCTAGCTTTGGGCTCCACAGCTTTGGTCTGAGTTAGGCAAATATTATCCATTGGACTGTAATTCCCCATTGCTTTTTGGTATAATTTCATATAGCAAATCATTTAAATGAAAACTCTGATACTCACCGTAGGCTGGCCACCCTGACATCAAAGATCTCCCGTTACTCTTAATTACCTGCAAACTAATCCAGTTGCAAAGTGTTCACAAATTGTTGATTACCTTTTGTGCAATTAATTTGATTGTTTGTCCTTGAAGGCCAGAATAATAGCATAAATGTTTTGCCAATAAAAAGAAAAGAAAAGCCTCTGGAGATATGAGACCAATTAGAGCTCCACTGCATTTATTTTGTTTTGTTAAAATCAATCAATGTGCTGAAGAAACATGAGAAGGGTCATCTTTTAAATGACCACTTTGGTTGTCTTCAGCATGAAAATAAGCCTTTTGAGTAGTTTTGCAGATCAGGAGAAGTTTTATCTCTGAACAAAGCTGTTTTCTTTTTCTTTATCATGTTTAATGGTAGCATATTACATATCCAGATGCAAAAGTCACTTTAAAGATGGGTTGGGCAGATACAAGTCAGAACAGAGAGTACAGAAAGCAAACAAAATTCTGTTCCACTCAGGGTTCTGCCGCACAGGCCTATATCCCAAGAGGAACTGAGATTTTGTATTCATTTTCCTTGGCATTGAGGCCTCACACCAGCCCCAAACCCGAGGATTATCTGGGTGGTGGCTACATGCTGTCCCAGGTCAATCAGTGGTCAACTCATGAGGGCATGTAGCCAGCCCCCAGCCACCTGTTTCCCCAAAAAACATACTAGATGGGCCTGACTGCATCTTCAGCCCCCTCAGAGAAAGCTTCTAATGTGTAAAATGAGGCATCAGAACCTTTGGAGAAGGGAAGGGGTAAATGGGGGCTGAGAGGTGGGGCTGGGAGGGGAGGACGGGGGTGCCATTCCACTCAGGCCCAAGAATTGGAATGGCAATGGGGATTGAACTCCAGGATTGCAGAAGGTGGTAGAGTTGTGCTTTTGGGGTAAAACTTGATCCATTTCATGTCCCGGCTTTCAGTCCTGATCCATTTTTGGGAGCCTCCCAAAATCAAGAGGGCAGATATCTGTTTTCTCTCTGGGGGGCCTAAAGATCCATTTTATATTAGCCCATTATGGGGGGGGCTCCCACCCTAACCCTAACCCCTTCCCTATGTGTTTCTTACTCTAAAGAATGCACTTGGCTGCAGGTAGGTGTGTGTGCTTTCTGGGCCTGCATGGCACATGCACTTTCCAAGGCAAGGAGGCAAGTTCTCTGTTTCTTACTTTAGAGGAGGTGCTTGGCTGTCGGCACTGGCAGGCATGCACGCTTTCTGGGCCTGCACACACACCACATGCACTTTTCAAGGCAAGGAGGCAAGTTCTCTCTAGAGGAGGCACTCAGCTGCAGACACTGGCAGGCAGGCATGCTTTCTCTCCTGGACTGCACCACACCAGCAACCACACACTCTTTCCAGGGCATTTTAAGTAGACTTCCCACTTTCAGTAAGGAAAAGTGATGACCTCCTGGAAGATGAGAGTAGTTCTCAGAGAATGGGGGTTTCCTTTTTGTTTGCTGAGGGTTTCGTTTTTTGCGGGTTTTCATAATGGGCGGGCCCTTACAGTTATGAACTCTCAAAGCACCAAAGGTACTGAAAGAAACAGATGAAACAGAAGAAACGAATTCCAGCACAACTCTAGAAGGCGGTCCCAAAAGTAAATCCCCACAGGCCCAGCACCTGGAAAGATTCAGACCTTGCAGTAAGATCTGGATCTTTCCAGGTGTTTTCTTAATCTGGAGTAAATGTGAAACCCCATTTGAACACCTCATGTTAGCTTGCAACCCATCA